GAGGGGGAAGGGGGGGGGGGAAAGGGGGAGGGGGAGGGCGAGCTCTCCTGCGCTAAGAGTAAAATAAACAGCTCCTGGAAAAACGGGATGGCGAAATGCAGTGGGGTTGCGCTGCTCGGAAGGACGGCTGCCGGCTGCCGGCGTTGGGAAATGCGCGATGGGGAGGGGAGGCTGCGGGACAGACTGCCCTCCTTCTTCCATCCCCCATCCCCCCCTCGTTGGGACGTTCCCCGGGGGGGGGGGGGGAGGATCCGCTGAGGGGGGTCCTGAGGGGGTCACCGATGGGGATAGAGAGTCCCCAAAGGAGTTCCGGGAGTCCCCAGGTGGATTTGGGGTTTTCCATGGGTCCTCAAGAGTGGATTTTGGGGGTTCGAAATGGGGGGATTTGAGGTCTCTAAAGGGATTGCGGGGTCCTAAAGGGGGATGTAGTGTTCTCGAAATAGATATGGGATTCCCAAGGGGTCGAGGGGGGGTCTCCAAGAGTATTTCAGGGTATCCTAAGTGAATCTGGGGTCCCTGAGGGGATGTAGGATTCTCAAAGCGGATACGGGGTCCGCAGGGGTCCCCCAAAGTGGATATGGGGTCCCCAATGGGGATTTGGGGTCCCCGAAGTGGATATGGGATCCCCAATGGGGATTTGGGTCCCTGATGTGGATTTGGGGTCTTCAAAAAGGATTTGAAGTCCCCAAAAGGGATATTGTGTTCTCAAAGTGGATTGGGGGGACCTTGAAGGTGATGTGGGGTTCCCAAAGTGAATTTGGGTTTCCCGGAAGGATTTGAGATCCTCAAAGCAGATTTGGGGTCCCCAAGAGTATTTCATGGTCCTCAAAGTGAATTTGGAGTCCCCAAGGGTATATATGGGTTCTCAGAATGGATTTGGGGTCCATAGGGGGATTTGGGGTCTCCAAGGGGAATATGGGTTTCCCAAAGGAAATTTGGGGTCCCCAAAGGGGATATTGGGACCCCAAGGGGATGTGGTGCTCCCGAAATGAATCTGGGGTCCCCGAGGGAATGTAGGGTTCTCAAAGTGGATTTGGGGTCCACGGGGGGGGGGGAGGGGTGATCTGAGGTTCCTAAAGTGGATATGGAATCCCCAGGAGTATTTGGGAATCACCTCAGTGAATCTGGGGTTCCCAAAGGGATATTGGGTTTTCAGTGTGGATTTGGGGTTCACAGTGGGATTTGGGGTCTCCAGAGTGGATTTGGGGTCCCCGAAGGGGTTTTGTATCCCTGTTGTGGATTGAGGTTCTTCAAAAAAGCATTTGGAGTCCCCAAAGGCGTATGGTGTTCCCAGAGCGCATTTGGGGACCCCAAGGGGACCCAAAGGGGGGATACGGTGTTCCCAAAGTGAAAATTGGGACCCCCGAGGGGATTTGGGGACCCCCAAGGACACAGGGGATTCCCAGAGTGGATTTGGGATCCCGGAGGGGATTTGGGGTCTCGGTGCCCCCTCCTGATGTGTGTGACGGTGAGGATGGAAGCCGGGGGAGGGAGATGGGCAGCCCCCAACCCTGACTCCCCCCCCCACCTCGTGCTCTGTTCCCCGCAGCCCTCAACCTCCTCCTGAAGGATCCGGTCCCCGCCGTCCGCATGAAGGTAGCAGAGACCCTGGGCCGCCTCGTCCGCATCCTCTGACCCCACGCAGCGCTATGGGGTCGGAGCCCCACAGCCATCGCCACGCGCCCACCCCAAGGGCACCCCGCTCCGCAGCGCCATCGTCTTCCTCCGCTCCCCCCCCTCCCCCCCTCCTCCGAGCCATGGGAGCCCCCAGCCCCCGGGATGGGCACAGCAGGTGAACGGACCCCTATGTGGTGGGTGGGGGGGGGGGGGGTCCCAGGAATGTGAGCGTCCCCAAACACGCCTGTACATAAACTTATTTTTCGATAATAAAGCTCTTTGCTCCTGGTTGGGAGGTGGTGCGGGGTGAGGGATGCGGCCCAAGTGGGGCTTTGTTAGTGGGGGAGGGGGGGGCGTTAATGATGGCAGAGGGTTTGGAAGTGGGGGGGGAGGGGGCCTTGTCCCTCATTCCTTGTGCTGCATCTGTGCTGCTTCAGTGGGGTCCAGAATGATGGAGTGGGGCAGCAGTGGGTCAGACCCTATGCTGTAGGGTGGGGGGCCAGGAACCGTATGGGGCTGATCCTAAGCCTCCGAGGACCCAGGCTGACTCTGACCCCACAAACTGGGGTAGGGGGAGATGTGCCCCGGCCTTTTGCTGTTGCTTACACCCCAGCCTTGATCCCACTGCTCAGCTCTGGAGCAGCACGAGCAGAATTTTTGGGGTCCCCACACGGGGTTCGGGCAGTGCAGGGAACAAACCCCACGGATGTGGGTCCCGCAGTGGGGTCCTGTAGGGCCGTGTGGTCAGTGTGGGTCAGGGAAGTTCCCCAATCCTGGCCCATGGACAACACTGAGCTCACAGTGGGACAGGATTAGCTCACGGTGCGGCTGCGGGACCAGAGGCGGGTCAGAGGGCAGCATGTGGGGCTGGGGGGGGGGAAAGCTGGAGGGTTGGGGGGCTCTGGGTGTTTGTGGGGTGTGCTATGGGGCAATGTTACCCCTATATGTGTCCCTGTGGGGCAAAGTGGGTGCAGGTCCTGTGCATTCAGCTCGGGATCATCTCTCCTGGCCATGGGAGATGATGTGGGGCAGGCAAGCAAGGAGAAACCCCACAAACACTTTGGGGGGGGCTGGAGGGCACCACGCTGGGCTGCACCGCACAGGAACTGGGGTGCTGGGGCGCTCCTTGGTGCAGCCCGGGCTTAGCTGGAAGTGGAGAACACGGAGATGTGGCTCTGTACCCAAAAATCAGTTTAATGAGAAATGAGAAAGGTTCCAGAGTCCATGGGTGGGAGCGGAGATGTTCCCGGCCGGTGTTGGGGTGCCTGTGTTGGGGTTCTGGAGTTGGGGTGTCGGTGTCATTGGGGTGCCGGTGTTGGGCAGCAGCTACGTGTAGAGCCGGACGGTGCCGTCGGCTCCGGAGGAGAAGACCCACGGCTGTGTGGGGTGGAAGATGACATCGAGGACGCCCAGGTCCAGGGTCAACGCGTGGCCCTTCAGCACCTTCACTGGCACCAGCAGCGGGTTCTGCAGCAGGTCGCTGTGGGGAGATGGGTCAGTGTGGGGCTCTGGATCCACCCGCGGGGTCACCCCATCGATGCTCTGCACCCTCTGCCCGATAACCGACCCTCTGCTGTCCCCCCGCCCCATGGGAAGCCATCAAAGCCCCCTGGCCCAACTCCCACGTACTTGTAGACCATGCCATGGCACACAATGACGGTCCCATCGTCTGAGCCCGAGGCGAAGAGCGGGTAGTGCTTGTGGAAGGCCACGCTCCTCAGTGCCTTCCTGTGGTGCCTGCAAAGAGTGAGTGCCGTCAGCACAGGGGGATCGTAAAGTCATGGCATCAGGGGATGGTTGGGTTGGAAGGGTCCCAAAAGCTCATAGAACCATGGGGTGGTTGGGTTGGGTTGGGTTGGGTTGGAAGGTCCCAAAAGCTCATAGAGCCATGGGATGGTTGAGTTGGGTTGGATTGGAAGGATCCCAGAAGCTCATAGAGCCATGGGATGGTTGGGTTGGGTTGGGTTGGGTTGGGTTGG